TTCATACACAAAAGTGTCTTGGGGGCTGGCAGGAAAGATTCTGGGTTAAGTTTCTTTAAACTGTTGTCCGTTTACGTTCACACATGCAGCTCATCTCAGCTCATCAGAGGGAGAGAGAGAGAGAGAGAGATGGCCGCTTCAATGACTTCAGCCTCTGTATATTGAGCAGATCATATTAACCATGTATTAATACCAAGTATTTCTATCCCCCACCCTCACAAATGTCTCCCTCTCCATGATGGCACTTCATCACCGTGCTCATCATGGTGCTCCTCACCTGAAGGGTCAGCCTCCTCCTGAAACTGAGATGAGTGACATCAGAGTGCAGGCAGTTATCTCAGAGACAGAGGGGGAGATGAACACAAAATATCTTCTCTTCTTATTTCAGTGACCACACCCTTTAGATTCAGTGCCAGTCTCAGGGATACAAATGAATAATTCAGGAAAAAGAAATGAATATGGACAAACTACACACACACACACACACACACACACACACACACACACAGCAATGATATTTAGGGCAGCAGCAGCGATGTGTCTCTCTCTGTATCCGGGGTATAAATAATAAATTGCATCCAGGAAGTACAAACCAGTCGGCCATCCCATCAGGTGGAGTCCCACCACATCCTGTACGCAGCTGTCTCTCTCTCTCTCTCTCCTTCTCTCCTGCTGCTCCTCTATCTTTATCTGCCTTCTATCTCGTCACTTTGTTTTTCTCCTCCTTCTTTTGTCTGCATCCAGCTCTCATCCTCCAGATCTGTCGTTCTTTCTCTTGTCTCTTATGGTCAACCCTCCCGCTCTCTCCCTCTCTCTCTCCCTCACTCCCTCCCGCTCCTCTTCCTTTGTTTCCATTAATTATAATCTATTGGAGAACCGGCACACAGAACAACCACACCCAGCGTTTCAGCATTACCTCAAGGGAGAGAGGCGTCCGGATATGATGGCGTCAGATTACAGAGGCTGAACGACCACACGGGAGAACTGCAGGGAGAAGAAAGGCTCAATGTTGTGTTTATGAAAGCCAGACACGTTGTATCTTCTCCCGGTCAAACTTCAGGAGCATCGCTCTGAGCTCTACAGACCTCCAGCAGGGTGGACGATGCAGAGCTAAGGAACAGGAAATTGAAAGAAGAACTCTGAAGCCTGAGCTATGGTTTTGTATGTAAGCCCTCGGGATTGTGCAGGCGGAGCTTGCAGCGAGGCAGTGGTCGCACTCAGGCCTGGCAGCGGGTCCGACGGGGCCCCACACGGACTGTGGCGCTACGTTTGCTGCCAGAGGAGGCCAATGCTGACACTGTCCTCATGTAGGTATATACAAATAGAAGAGGACAAGGTGTGTGTGTGTGTGTGTGTGTGTGTGTGTGTGTGTGTGTGTGTGTGTGTGTGTGTGTGTGTGTGTGTGTGTGTGTGTGTGTGTGTGTGTGTGTGTGTGTGTGTGTGTGTGTGTGTGTGTGTGTGTGTGTGTGTGTGTGTGTGTGTGTGTGTGTGTGTGTGTGTGTGTGTGTGTGTGTGTGTGTGTGTGTGTGTGTGTGTGTGTGTGTGGAGAAGATTCTCTAAGCTGATGTCTAGTAGAAAAACTAACTTGAGATATTCTTGTTGAGATTCTTTAATGTCCCTCTGCCTCTCTTTTACTCTCTCCTCAGTCCCTTGAGCTCTTATCAGACACATCGTCCTGCTGACGAGATGAGATTTTTCAAATGCTCTTCTTCCCCGAGGTGTATTTTAATATCATATTGTGATCTCATGTCCAGCTAATAGAGTGAAGGACGGCCCAGTTTGTCTTTGTTCTCAGTGTTTATATCACCGAGCTACCTCTCTTTGTGCCCTATGTCTTTTCCCTTTTGTCTCCTTTTTCACCGAGTGTTTTTGTAAGCGGTCCAAGCTTAAGTGCTGTTGTCTTGGTTCATTGGATCAATTTTGATCGTTTAAAACAAGAAGGTCAAATGACTGAATGTTTGTGGGAGGAGTCTTTATAGTCAGAGAGTTTTAATGTTAAAGTTTAGAAACTGAAGATAAGATGCTGAAGTCTCTCCTGATGAAATTGCTTGCTGCTTTGAAGGAGCAATCAGTGAGATGTGTAGTGGCTGAAATGGTAAATTGACCTTACTATCTGATCAGACATTAATGAAACATGCTATGTTGAAGTACTGTCTTCTCTGACAACAATGCAGCAGCCAGTATGTCCTCCTTCTAACTTTAGATTCTGCTCCTGAATGCTCTGGATTTGTTTGGACCAGAGAAGGTAGGCACTTATAAGGCACCCCCACACAGCTCTCTTATGTTTCAATCTGGACTGCAGTACCCATTTTAAACACTAAGTGTCACAGTAACATATTGCTCCTTAATGAGAAAATAATGCTTAAACGAATGTGAGGCCCGTCAGATCTGTCAGTCTTCCCTCCTGAGCAGCGTTCAGGGCTGTGGCCCCGCTAGGCTGCTGTCTGCGTTCTATCATTAGCACATGAGCTCTATTAGAGCAGACAGTAACACAATTACACTCACAGGCAGCGGAAGATGGAGACAAGAGACCATGTCAGCAATTAAAGTGGCAGATTTGGACTGCCCGTGGACTCTGCTTAATTCAATAGTATTTATTTTCTTCCATATGAGGGAGAAACCAACAAGATGTTAATGAGAGGAGATGATCTGGATGATTATGGCTGATACAGAGCTTTGTGTGTAATCGGTTATTCCTCATTTCCTGGAGACAAAGCTACACATCATTATCTCTCTGTTTCATTCTGTGGTATCAGTAATTGTCCTGAAGCAGAAGTCGGACTCTTGACATAATTGTGATTGTTCCTGTTTCTTCACACATCTAATTTTAAAGGTCTCATATTCTCCTCCTCTTCAACTAGTTTAAATAAGTCTCAGAGCTCCACAAAACATGTGTGTGAAGTTTCTTGTTCTAAATCCACTCTGATCCTGTATTTGATCATGTCTATAAACCTCTCTATTTCAGCCCTGCTCAGAACAGGCTGTTTCTGTGTCTGTACCTTTAAATATGTAAATGAGCTGTGTCTGACCACACCCCCTCTCTGGAAGGGCTTGGGTGTCTCAGTCTTTCTTGCTCCATGTCCTATTGTTTACAGTGAGAAGGCAGACTCAGAAGTCAGAACAAACACCTAGCTGTGGGAGTGTCACCCACCTGGGGGAGGGGTTACTGCCCTTTGTGATGTCATGAAGGGAAAATCTCCAAACGACCTGTTTGAGCACACATTTTCTGAAAAGTGGAGCAGGCAGAAGATGGACAGGATGAACTTTTCTCATCATTGGGGGGTTTGTAGACATGTTTTTGTTAGAGGAACATGGTGAAGTGTATTTTACATAATATGTGACCTTTAAATCAAACATCTTTACTGAAGATTCTGTTAGTATGACCCATACGATGGTAATAGGGCATTGACCAGAGACTATTTTCTCTGTAGGCTAGGTAACACTTTATTTCTGTAACTTTCTTTCTTTGAGTTAATCATGCACCTGGCTGAAAACATAATGTATTAACCATCAAGGCTCTAGGCGTCCCCCACACTCTTTTCAGCCTTTTTCTTACAGGCATGTCTGTAAATGTTCACTTCAGCATAGTCTGCCCCTGAACTCTGATTCAGTTACCTGGTCACATATGCACCTCATTGGCGATGCTTTTCCCTGTTAGATGGAACAAGACATGACAACAGGGAAGAGGTGGATAGGGCAACAGAGTCTGACACTTTGATGACAGATTCTGCCTCAAATTAAGCGATCACCAATTGGTCAAACTAGGATCAAGCAATAGTAGCGTTCCTTTGCTCTTCAGCATCGTGATGTAAACGTCCTACCATGCCTGCTTGCTCACCTTGACTTCACGCAGAAGTTGTACTTAGTTGTACCTCTTACTGACTGGAAATCATAAGTAAGAAGTCGTCAGGAAAGGCTGAATACCTGCCTGATATGAAGTCTGAAAAAAAGAGATGAATAAGTGTTAACTGTCAATCGCCTGGCTGTGTGTGTGTCAGTCACACATCTTGACATCAACATTATAACAGACAGCTGTTAAGTAGTGTTAGTGAGTCATCCTGTTACCACACACACACACACACACACACACACACACACACACACACACAAGACTTCAATGCTCTATAGATGTTCAGCTTCCCCTCAGGGAGTTTGCTGCTCAGGGAAAAGGAGAGCTTACATAAATGTCAGAGTCACAGACAGATGTGGTTCACCAACAGAAGTGTCACACACACACACACACACACACACACACACACACACACACACACACACACACACACACTTGTCTTTCTCATTTAGCTCTTCCTATAGTTTCTCTCAGTGTTTCTCTGAGGGATCTGTTGATCAGTTCTTAATAGAAACAGAAGAAACAGAAATGTACTCCAGAGGTCTCCCGTGTAACAAAGTCTCTGCAGTAGATGATCAATGTCCATTAAATTAAAAAAAAACAAAACACATAAAGAGGTGTCGTTACAGTGCTCTTGAATTATCTGACTCAGGGCTGTCTAAAATCACTCCTAATAACTGCGGGGAAACTTGTGTGAGGGCTTTTTATTCAAAAGCAGTCAACAGCGTGTGTGTGTGCGTGTGTGTTTGGTACACAGAGGGGGAATAGAGCACCATGTCGGTCCATCTGGCTCTTGTTTGGTTGTGCAGAAACGTTAGCTCATTAGCAGATGTAAATGAGACAGTGATGTCTGGTGTCCCTTGTTGTTGTGCCAGAGGCCGCTCGGCCTGTTTCACAGTTCACCTTAAGAATCTTCTACAACACGCTGTACCTACTTTAACCTCTGAGTGAGTCAATGTCCACCCTAAACCCTCCCAGACCTGAACAGGATCCTGCAGTGTGTGAGTCTGTGAGGACAGAGATGTGCATTTTAATAGTCTCTTCTTCTTCTTAATTAAATCAGAATAATGGGAGTGTGTCTCAGTCAAGAGGTAATACACGATGTCTAAAAGATGTCTAACATGAGCTGTGTGTGTGTTGCCCTCTGCAGGCCCCACATTGCCCAGACAGGCCCCCCAGGTACAGAATGGACCCACACCAGAGGAGATGGAGCTGCAGAGAAGGTAAGAGCAACACAACCACTAACAATGCAAACATACTGATTCATACTTCTACGTCGAGTCTACACTTAGTGTCCATCAGTATTAAATAATCTATTCATTCACGTTCATACCCCGCTGATGCAGCAGAGGGAGCAACTTGGGGTTAGGTGTCTTGCCAAAGGATACTTCAACATGTTCACAGGAGGAGGCAGATTATCTGATTGAAAGACGATTGTTTTGAAGATCGACGTCTTTCAGGATTCTTGTTGTAATCTCGTTCTTTTCTCTGAGAGTAACAAGCGGAGCCTAAAAGATAAAGTTCACACTTTACCCCAAAATATGAAGATGAAGCTTTTACTGCAAGTTTCACGGCCGCCTGCTAGAGTGATCCAAGTGTGTACTCAAAAAGTATTTGTCCCCGTTAGTAAGAGGTAAAAAAAAATATAGAGGGTGCATGTTTAAAGACTGGTTGAACTGGTCTGGATTTATAGGGAAGTTTGTTCACCTTGTGAGGCACCGGTGTTTCTTCTATCTCTATCTCATGCTCTCACACACACACACACACACACACACACACACACACACACACACACACACACACACACACACACACACACACAACCTTCCATGCCAGCGGTTGTTTTTCTTCTCCATACAAGGCCACTCGTTCCCTCAGGTAATAATGAAGCTCTAGAACAGCAAGGTATCACACACACACACAAACACACACACACACACACACACACACACACACACAGAGCTGTGTTAATGGAGGCCAGCTGTTAGCCAAGGTTTGGAACCTGTTCACTCTGCATCAGTGGTTTTATTCGAACTTGTTTCTTACACACTCTCACATGCAAACAGAGGAACCTGGACATGCTTACAAACAGCTTTGACTTCATCAACGTGCCTGCACACAGTTGTAGACAGACGACTCCAGACGGAGGCACAACATGGATGTTTTGAGTTGAAGAGTCAAGGTGAAGCACCCCGGATGCCACACAAACGTTGGTGTAGGTGGAGGAGAGGTTTCTTATGGCTGTTTGAGGGGTGAGCAGGTTCTTGAGATAGGTTGGGGCATTTCTATGGATGCAGTTAGATTTTATATTTGATGCAGTGGTGAACGGGAAGCCAGTGGAGGTTGTGGAGGACGAGTGTTATACGGTCATACTTACACACCCTCATCAGGATCCTGGCGGCGCAGTTTAGAACAAAATGGAGCTTTTTGGAGGATCTTGCTTGGGATCCCAATGAGGAGTGTGTTGCAGTGATCCAGCCTGGAGGAGATAAAGGCATGGACTAGCGAAGGAGGTGGAAGGTTGAGGTGTTTGATGGGAGCCTCAAGAGACAAATGAGGGTCCAATATCTTTTAAGACATTGCAATGAAATAGTGAAAGGTTCCCTGAATATCTAAAAACACCATTAGGGATGAGAAGAGTGCAAGTCAACTCAAGTTTTCATCAATGCAGAGTGAAGAGGCTGATACTTCATGTGGGACATGCATGCACATCATCCAGGTGTCTGTTAAACCCCTCTGTACTGATATGAAGTGTCTCTGTCTCTATGTGTGAGCTAAAGAAAAGTAGGAGAATGTGCCACTGGCCGGGTGAAGTGCTCGCTCTTCATGGGTTGTTCAGGTACATTAGGCAGCAGAACGTTTTCAGAGGAGCTCTGGTTGAAGTGTTCCAACATCTCACATCCACATGCAGAACGTCAGCAGCTAAGAGCCGGGATAAAACCAACAGAATCAGACTTTGTTTTTTAAGATTATCTGTAATGCATCAGTGTGAACAAGATTATTATTATTTTCTTCTTCAGTTTTTGGAACTGGAACTGGAACTGGAAAACATAATTAAAGCTATGTTAAACATTCAAAGACTATCCAGCTTCTCATGGTCCACCAGGAAAATCTTTGTAGCCCTTCTCTGCTATGGGGCAGATGTGTCGTAGGTCATTTTCATCGGGGTGGGGTGGCAGAGAGAATCCCTCCCATAATTCCCCACCAGCATCTCTTGTTGTTGTTGTTGTTGTTTTGATTGAGAGCCCCCTGGTGGTCGTACATACTGTGCACTTTGGGTCTGAAGTGGCTGGAAACAGTCTGAGCTGATCAGAGGAACATTTGGATTCTTTTAAATAACACATCCCTCAGGCATCCCACACACACACACACACACACACACACACACACACACACACACACACACACACACACACACACACACACACACACAGAACATTAGTGCAGCATTCTTCAGGTGTGACTCAGTGGTACCTCTTTGAATTTGTTTGGGGTGAACTTGAATCTGCCAGGAGAGCCTGATGGATCTGCTGCCAGGACCTGCCTCCCTTTCTTTTTCTTTTTTCTCTTAATTTCACTCTTTTGTCACGCTCTTCATCTGTCTTTTTCTTATTCTCTTGCCCTTTAGCCCTATCTCTCTCTCTCTCTCTCTATCTATCTATCTATCTATCTCTCTCTCTCTCTATCTATCTCTCTCTGCACCCTCATTCTCAGTCATGATCCATATTTAGCAGCGGATGACAGACGGGAAGCGACTGAGGTCATCTGACGATACAGAAGCCAATGTGAGCCTGGCAGGAGAATGAAAAAGGAGATTTGTGGAGTAGGGTGAGAGTAGGAGAATAAAAGTGTAGAAAAGAATTGTAAGCACAGTCTCACGACCAGCTTGTAATTCAACGGGAACATACGGCCCAGGCTCTTTGTGGCCAAATGGAATCGCCAGGTTAACTTTTGGGCAGCTGTATTACATCCAATCAGCACTGTCTGTCACTAATCCTCCAAATCTTCTCAATTGTTTATTGAAGTACTGAGAAAAACATCTGGACAACAACATCTGTTGAGTTTTTTTTTTTTAATCCAAGCTTTTAATCAAAAATCTTCCTCAAAGCATTTCACTTTTATTTGAAACAGTAATTACTTTGTATCTCTTTAATTTAATTTGCCACCTGAGCAAACGATATCAAATCAAAACGTTTATCATATTGTAGACAATTTAATTAAAAAAAGTGGATGTTAGCCAGCAGCACATGTCAGGTATCATCGAAATTGGGCTGACAGAGATGGAATCAAATCCGCTCTGCTTCTCGGCCACATCTAATATTAGACATAATTATGACACAAGATAAGCTTTAATTGGTGCTTCACATTACCCCTGCTTAAATCCTATTCTTTAATCGTCACATATTATGTAAAATACACTTCTCCATGTTCCTCTAACAAAAATATATGTCTCTAGTCTGTCTACAAACCCCCCAATGATGAGAAAAGTCCATCCTGTCCGTCTTCTTTCAGAAAATGTGTGCTCAAACAGGCCGTTTGGAGATTTTCCCTTCATGACATCACAAAGGGCAGTAGCCCCTCCCCCAGGTGGGTGACACTCCCACAGCTAGGTGTTTGTTCTGCCCTCTGAGTCTGCCTTCTCATCGTAAACAATAGGACATGGAGCGAGAAAGCCTGAGCCCTCCAGAGAGGGGGCGTGGTCAGACACAGCTCATTTACATATTTAAAGGTACAGACACAGAAACAGCCTGTTCTGAGCAGGGCTGAAATAGAGAGGTTTATAGACATGATCAAATACAGGATCAGAGTGGATTTAGAACAAGAAACTTCACACATGTTTTGAGGAGCTCTGAGATTTATTTAAACTGAAGAAGAATATGTGACCTTTAACAATAAAAATACTTGGTCAAAGTTTTTCATGACCGATGTGACCTTCACAGTTTGGTCAAATGATTTCAAAATAGTTAATGGACTTGACCTTGTATATATTTTTTCTAGTCTTCTGACTACTCAAAGCGCTTTTACACTGCAGGTCACACCTACACATTCACACACTGCTATGTAAAGGGACCATCAGAGGTAACTAATCCCATTCACACGCCGCTGACATAGAAGCGGGCTAAGAGTCTTGCTGAAGGACACATGGGGATCGAACACAGCCGCCCCTAAACAAATGATCACATTTCAAAGCAGTCATTCACCTCATCAGGCGGCTCACTAAACATGACAGCCGACTTATGGGCTTTGCCTTCCTTCATTGAGTCACAAAGCTTTTCAGTGGGGACATAAGATAGACGGAGATAAAGAAAAAGAAAGCATGTGGACAAATGGAAGTGAGGTATAGTGTTCCTTCTGTCCTCATTCCTCTCAGCCTCATTCAATAAGATCAGCTAACCACTGAATGAACCCCCCCTCATTCCTCTGTGACAACACCAGTTCAGTCCAACACATTCCCCACACATGAGTGCTCACTTGTGGGTGTCCACTCCGTGTGAGGACTGAACATTGAGACCCTTGCAATGGGATTTTCCACAGTATCAAATGACGGCATGGAGCATGATTCACATCATCTTTTCTTTTCCTCACTGTCTCTCCTCCGCCATCTATTCCATCTGTGCCCCCCCTCCATCTCATCCTTCTCTTCATGGAGACATAGATTGATGAAGAAGACGCATGGCCATGATGCTCCTGTGATGATGGATGGAAATCTTCAGTGCGTGTAAAGTATTAGATGATTCATAGACAGCTAAAGGAGAGAGCGCAGATAAACCACCTGTTCAGAAATGCAGGGTGCTACCCTCAGATTAAAAAGACATGAGCTGCAAATAATAGGCTGTGGTATAAATAGCTGTGTGGTGTGTGGGCGCAGGGGAGTGTGTGTTGGGAGAGAGAAATGTGTTGCATCGCCCCTGAATGAGAGTAAGGACGTGGATATGGGTAGAAAATAGAGGGGAAAGGATGTGAGGTGTTAGATTTGTGTTGGTGGTTTTTAGCTGCTAGTATCTTACACTGACGACATCAAACCAGCAGCTGCTGCTGATGGTGAAAAGTGTTTTGTAATGCACACTGTCACAGTTTGTCATCAACTATGTCTCACTGAAAACGCACACTCCTAAAGAGACGTGTTAGCTCAGCTCTGATCAAAGGTTGGCAACAGGACAGCATGTGTAGCGTGTATATATTCCACCGACTGGATCCTCACTAGAGTAGGTCCATATGGTCC